CAGTGCGAGCACGGCGGTCGCCGGAAGAACTCTCGGTCTCTCTGTCTTGCTCCGTCTCTCTCTTTCTCTCTGTCTTTTAGAAACGGCCGACCGTCTCTCTCTCTCTCTTTCTGTCTTTCATAGCCAACGACGACGAATCTGGGCCCGGCCGCGTCGGCGTGACGATGGCCTGCACCGGCCTACCTGCCCCGCGACTTTCGCGGCCATGGCAGGCCGGTGCAGAGCAGAGCAGATGGGGGGGCCGGTGCAGAGAGGGTGCAGAGAGGGAGAGAGAGCCTGGGAGATGGGGAAGACGGGACTGGCCTTAATGGCCAGTCCCTGTGGCGTGCCCGCCTGGGCCTCCTCTGACCGGATGACGACGATGAGGAGCGGCGCCGCCGTGCGTCACGCTTCGGTCGCGCACAGGGGAGAACAGGGGAGGAGAGAGCGACCGGCGCAGGGGGAAGGAAGGAAGGAAGAAGGCTGGGCCGGGCCAGGCCCAGCAGCGGCGTGGGGGAAAGAAGAAGAAAAGGAAAGCGGGCCGGGCCCGCGCGAAGGGAAAAAAGAAAAGGAAAAAGGGCCTGGGCCCGGGGGAAAAAAGGAAAAAAGAAATGGGCCGGGTCGGCCCAGCTCCGACCCGGCCCGACTCGATTTTTTTTTTTTTTTTTTTAAATTAAACTCTATAATAGACTCTATTAGTGCAAATGTACCTAATTTCTATATGCAATGCATTTAAATAGAAATATTTTTGTTTTAGGAATTAAATAAAATTAACTCCTAAATTTTGTGCAATTAATTTTGGGCAAATTAAAAATAGGTGTCAACAGTAGCCACACCAGCTATATCGGCCACGTTTGTTCAGTTACTATTCCGACAGCAAAGTTGACCGCAAAAGACGCGTGCTATTCGGCTCCAACAACAAAGTTGACAAAAGATGCATGTTGTTGCCTTAGATTCTTGACGTTTTCACTTCTTGTTTCGACAAGCCGATGCCACCGTCAAACTTGCCGCCCTCAGACGAGCAACAAACTGAAATATCGTCAACGGAAGCTTGGAGCCATCACATGCGCCACTATGCACCGCCCTGCATTGGATCCACTGAGTGATGATTTTAGAAGAAACAAGTTTTCATAGCACTGTTTCACTTAATCTTAAACTCAAGCTGACCTTCAGTTTGAGCGGACTTAGGGAAAATTAGGGATCTTTTTAGGATAATTTCCCGTGTTAGAGATAATTATGATATTTTTGTTGATTATCCGTATGCGTATGGTGCACGTATTTCTTCCTTTAATTATGTATATCTTAATTGAAATATTAGTTTAGGATAGTTATCAAATAAAACCTATAAATATGTTAATGTATTCTTCATTACTATATATATATATATCAAAATATACATAAATTTTAGATTCCTCTCTTCCGCATCTTTATTCTTTGACTTTATTGATGTCTCACATATGCTTTTTTTAGGGATGGATAATAAAGAGTCACCCTCGAAGTTGATGCTCACAATGCTACGGTTTTCATGAGCTCAATCCAATCGCTTGTCATTGCCATTCCTTTGGTGATAGACCCTACTCAGTGAAAATTGGGTTGGAATGGTCGCCTCCTCGCCGTGGCTTATTGTGTGAGATCACTAATCTTTTCTCTCAATTGCTCCATATATTGCCTGAGTCCACAAAAGCTATGCTTGAGTCCCTGACACTCAGGCCTGAGTCCACAAAGATTGTCCCTGGGTCCTCCGTGATCAAGCTTAGGTCTCCAGTGCTCGAGCTAGTGTCTATCGAGGCTGAGGTCCGAGACCTCGGTGCTCGTGGTTGAGACCCTCCTGCCTGTGCTTGGGTCTCGGCACTCATGCTCAAGCCCCTAATGCTAGTGCTCAGAACTCCCATGCTTGAGCCCGCGTCCATTGAGGCTCAATGCTGCATAAGAGAAAAATAATTGTTTACAATCTATTAAAGTATTTATCTTATGGAAATTTAATTCGATAAAATTAATTTAGAATTTGATTGTATAACATATATATTCCTTATATTGCACGAATTGTGCACATCTCATTAGAAAAATAAAACTGATTTGTCCTTTTCAAACGACAGAAATTAATTTTCAATTCATTTTTAGATGTTAGCTAAATATCGAAAAATATTTCTATTTTCCTGAAACGTGTCTAATTTTTTCGCGAAACAAACGAAACTTTAATGAGGTAATTAACTTTGTAAATTGGAAAACTAGTTTTTTCTCTACCGTGAAGTACTAATTATTTCTTCCCTTACCAAAAATGTATCTTCTTTCAACATTTCATCTAACATTTACAAATTACGGTGTGTCGAAATTGGAATTACCTTGAAAAGAAAAAAAAATTAATGATAACAGCATAAACAATCTTTAAACTTTAGCCTAATGTGGTCCCTGAATTTAGGGAAAATTTCAATTAAGGACCCCAAGTGGGGTCAAATTCTCAAAAGAGAGCCCAAAGTGAACATAGTATCAAATAAGGGCCTGAAGTGCCCAATCAGTCTCAAATAAGGACCCGAAGTGCCCAAAAAGTCTCAAATAAGGGCCTGAGTCGCCGGCCGGCCAAAATGCTTGCCGACCGGCAAGAATGTTACTGTTTCGGCACCAGAACAGTAACTTTTTAATTTTTTTTCCTTTATGTTTTTCCTTTTATGTTTTTTTTCTTTTCCTTTTCCTTTTCTTTTGTTTTTTGTTCTCTTCCTCCGCCGGCCATAGCCGGGCCCGGCGAAGGTCGCCGGCCTCAGGCGAGGCCGCCCTCGCCTGGGCTGGGCGAGGTTGGCCTCGCCAGTTGCCGGCGAGGGCTCGACCTCACCGGCGTCGGGCGAGGCCGACCTTGCCGTTGCAGGCGAGACCGGCCTCGCTCGACGTCGGCGAGGTCAGGCCTCGCCAGCTGCCGGCGAGGTCGAGCCCTCGCTAGAACTGGCGAGGCTCGACCTTGCCATTGCTGGGCGAGGTCGGCCTTGCCGTTGCAGGCGAGACCGGCCTTGCCCGACGCCGGCGAGGGCGGCCTCGCCTGAGGCCCTCGGCCGACGATGGCGAGGGCGGCCTCGCCTGAGGCCGGCGACCTCCGCCGGCCCCGGCTATGGCCGGCGGAGGAAGAGAAGAAAAAAAAAAGAAAAGGAAAAGGAAAAGAAAAAAAAACAAAAAAGGAAAAACAGAAAGGAAAAAATAATAAAAAATTAAAAAAGTTACTGTTTCGGTGCCGAAATAGTAACATTCTCGCCGGCCGGTGGGCATTTTGGCCGGCCGGCGACCCAGGCCCTTATTCGAAACTTTTTGGGCACTTCAGGTCCTTATTTGAGACTGATTGGGCACTTCATGCCCTTATTTCACATTATGTTCACTTTGGGCCCTCTTTTGAGAATTTGACCCCACTTGGGGCCCTTAATTGAAATTTTCCCCTGAATTTATAATTTGTTCAATGTAATTCCTAAATTTCAGCATAATGTTCAATGTGATCCTTGATTTTTGGTAAATGTTCAATATAATCCCCGAATTATATGAAAATGTTCAATTTAATCCCTGAACTTGAATGAATGAAAGGACTACAATGAACGTTTTTATATAGTTTATGGACTACATTGAACATTTACCAAAAGTTGAGGATAATATTGAATAAATTAAAAGTTCATGGATCACATTGCATATTGGGTTAAATTTTAGTAGATTTGTCAAAATGGGTCATAAACCATTTCTTAACCCTTATATTAGTAAATAGGTCATAAATGGGTTAGTTATATTTAGTAAATGGGTCATAAATGGGTAGAAGTAGTCATGGCCACGGTTCGGAGCCGGCCGGTTCCGGTTCGTAATTTAAAAATTTTAAAAATAAATTATGAAATAAAAAAATAATGAATTTATAAAAATATGAAATAATGAATTATTCAATATAAATTATAATCAAAATGAAAATTATAGGGGTGATCGGTTCCCGGTCGGAACCGGGAACCAAACCGGTAAGACCGGTCCTTTAATTTTAGAACTAGGAACCGGACCGGCAAATCATATAACCGGGAACCGGACCATTGGTCCGGTCCAGTTCTAGGCGGTCCAATGGAACCCTTTGCTCTTAACTAGCAAAGGATCGTAACCACAAAATGCATACAACTTCACATGCTCATGGCTTGGCTTGGGTTTTATAAACAACCCTTTTGATGGTCTCTTCATTACATTCGACGTGGGACTCTTGCCATTTGCATGAAGACAAGCCAAGAGTCTCACATTGAAGGTGTTCAAGGCAAGCCGAGAGTCCCACATCGATTGAGAATGAAGAGACCATCAAAGGGGTTGTTTATAAAACCCAAGCCAAGCTTTGTAATTAGAGTTCAATACACTCAAGCCAAGTATTATAATTGGAGATCAATGCACTTACAATGCATGGCAATTAGAGTTCAATTTGTTTTATAAAAAAAAATTAAATAATGAATTTTTTTTTAAAATATTCATTATTTTTTTTTAAAAATAATTTGGAATCGGAACTGGAACCGCCGGTTCCGGTTCAAAAATTTTGGAACTGGAACCGGGCCTGTAGGCCACGGGCCGGTTCCGAGCCAAAACCGGCCCGTGGCCATGACTAGGTAGAAGTCTAATATTAGTATTGAATGGGTCATAAATGAGTCGTAAATGGGTCATAAATGAGTTTACAACTAATTTAAACTTAACTCATCTCTCTCGCCCTTACTCAACCTTGCGCTTACTCACTTCGCACTTTCATCTCAGTTTGGATATGAATTTTTCTAGATTTAATTAAATATGGAAGTGTTTTAGCAATATGGGTCTGATTGAGTGTGGGTTGGGTATGGGTCAAAAAAATTGCATTACGCATAAATGGGTCATAAATGAGTTAATGGGTCAATTTGGATCGGACCATTTATGACCCGATCCAAACCCGATTCGATCTACCCATTTAATAGGTCTAAATTTTAGGGATCATATTAAATAAATTAAAAATTTAGGGATCCCGTTTTATATCGAGGCAAACTTCAGGGCGTGTTGTGTTATTTTCCCAAAAGAATTATTTGCAAATTCGCCGCAGCGTCTCTCCCGGCGATTTCGCGCTCGAAAAGATCACTGTTCGATTTCTCAAGCTCTGCAATCACTTCGCTCCGATCGAAGAAACCCGCCCCAAAAATGGCCGACCCGATTCTTCTCTCCGACGAGGAAGACGACCGCATCGTGCTCTGCACTCCCACGCCGGCCCGCTCCCGGAAGCGCCGCGTCTGCCGCGACGGCCGCCCGGAGCCGCCGCCGACGGTCCTGGTCGTGGACGACGACCCGACGCCGCAGAAACCGGCCCCCGCCTCCGCCTCCGCCTCCACGCCCTCCTTCGTGGCCGAGACTCCCATGTCGGACGTCGCCATCGTGAGGTGCACCGCGAGGACGGGTTCGGGGTCGGGTTCCTTGGGCGACCGAGCTAGGGCTCCCGAGGCTCCTCCGAAATGCTCCGGTTAGTAGTCTCCCTTAGTTTGTTGGAATCGGTTCGGCGGTTGTTGTTTCCGCAGGGGACTCGTGGTTGTCGCGGTGTTGAATTTGATCGAACGCCTTGTTTTTTTTATGCTATTCCAGCTATGCGGGAGATGAATCTGTAACTGCGAGTGGAATTGAACTGACATTGACATATAACGTAATCTGCTGGTGTTTTTCAAATTGAAGTTTTGTTTGATGGCCCATTTTTACTGGGAAAATTAGAACTTTTAGATCTTAATCCAATCAATGTGACCAATATGCAGTACAGACAGGCGAACCCATTTGAGTAAACCTCGAAAAGAAACTTTTATTATGAGAATGAATGCTGGGAGAAGATAGTATTAGAGGTTCTATTCGATGGTGCTGGTATTTGAAGAGTTTTTGATCTCATGCAACGGCTTTAGCACTTCCAGTCTTATTCATAATGCTTTTGGATACCAACAAAACGAGTTTCATCAAATCTGTCATTGCAATGGATGGTGGATGTGGCGCTGGTCAGTAGTCACAGCACTTCCACAGAAAATCATGAAAGAAATGCTTTCGGAGCAAAGTTTAGATTTGTAAAAGCCATACTAACAGGATTTTGTTTTCTTATGTTCGTTCCTTCTCTTTTTTTGAAGTTTTAGGAATATCATGACAAGGATCTTTTTGTACGAAGTAATGTTAAGTCTGGTTGGAATTGATGTGAGGATGTTTATTAGTGATGGCGCTCTGCAAATCCTCTCCGCTACTTCGTCCCTGGTTGCGGATTTTCTGGCTCATGAAATTGTTCATCGAGTGATGCCAATGCCAAATGTGAATAGGGTGCACAGTATTGCAAAGGATTTATTGCAAAGTACACTTCTTATACCCGTCTCACTGTTGCTAATCTCCACTGGCATACCAATAAATCTTCTTCTTTTGATTTTGTAAAATGTAAATTGTGCTAACTCTATTGACATTCTGTTGATTTGTCTTAGAATACAGGGAATTGCAGTGGAGAAAGTTAGGATCTCTAGAGTGATGCACAAGACCTCTCTGGGGCTGCCTATGGGATAGTGTCTCTTTTACTCCTATAGTTGTTGCAATTATGAAGAGTAACCCGAGATAGATGAGGGTCTTATGCATCATGCTCGTGGGATTAAAACTTTCTTCATTATAATTTATTTCTATATAAATTGACAAAATGTCATTAGAAACTGTCTCTGTGACATTTTGGATCAGTAAGAGAAGTATATTATTATGATATATATTAGTGGAGACAGCGTCTGTCACAGAGTGGAAGAGTTGAATTGAAATAAATCTCCTTCCAATGTCATGCATGTTACAGACACTTGGCACTGTCGTTGCTTAGAATGATTTCTTAGCCCAGCAATCTACTACCATGGATGGAAAAATTTTGGGAAAAGCGATCAGACCAATTCTAATCATATAAAGCTATCACGTTTGACAAGATAATGTTGTAGTGTAATGAAGTATTACCTTACGTTTTTTTTTGGCGTGGTCTTTTTGATTTATGATGATTGATCACAATTATTGAAATTCTGAGACTTAAATGCTACATCAGGAGTGATTTAAGATATCATTATTTTGCACGGGGTGACCTGAACTGAAGTGACAATCATGGGTTCTTACACACAGATAATGCTGGCATATGAACTATCATGATTTTGTGTTTGATGGCCCATTTTACTTGTAAAATTAATCTTTTAGGTCTAAATCCTTTAAAAAACCAATACGGTCTATTGACTGGGGAATCCATTTGACCAAACCTCCAGAAGAAATTGTCATCATCAGAGTAAATGCTGAGAAATGATAGTATTGAAAGTTACATCTTGTGATGCTTATAATCGAAGATTTTCTCAAGTAACAGCTTTAGCACTCTGGGTCTTGGATAGAAATTTCTGCTTCGACATGTCAATCATTCTTTGATTGTTGTTACACAAGTAGCTGAACACATCTTTCTCTGTGATCCTTTCAAAAGATTGTGTTTGAATTCTAATTTGCTTTGCAGTAAGAATTGCATCTTTGGCTCTAATTTTTTTTTGGACCATAGATTAGCTGAACTCTATATTTTTTGCAAATGCAGTAGCACATAATCCTTCATTGCATGTCCGCTGGCATTGGGTGTGCATGCACATGCTTATGATGTGTTGGTCTTAGGTTTGTCTTGTTTGGCCTGCACTAAGTTTAGACTTAGGCTAGGTATTTTTAATGGCTAATGCTAATTCCTATTTCTATAATTTCTTTGTAATATCTACATATCTTTGTTCTGAAAGCGAAATAGATCATAGTTGCATTTTCTTTGTTCAGTTCTGATGTCATTCTTCATGTTCTTGTTGTTTCTTGCATATTTAATCCAGGTATTAGCGGACTGATTTTTTTGGAATCTGATAATGAGTCTGATGGCTTTCTCGGAAGTGAGCTATGGAAGGCGAATCAGGCCAGTTTTGCTTCTCATGCAGTAAAAGATTTTGGACATGGCATAAATGTTGTAGATTCCACAGATTCTCATGGTAAGTAATTTTCAGATTGGATGTTCTTGTTCTTTCTTATGAGCCACATTTGATGTTAAATTATTATTAAACTAGGAACGTCACTTCTCCTTGGTGCTAAAATGTATTGCACATGAATGAAATATAATTATTAGGAAATGACGATCTAATTCAAACATCTGAAGGTGGTGCCTGTCCAGCACAGTTGCCATGTGACGTGTACACTTACCAGGTAACTCGTGGTGAGATGGTATCGAGTTGGTTTTCCTTTTCTTTTCACATTTTAGTACTTACTATTGATACTGATATGCACAAAACATTGATGTTAACTTTTCACCTATTTAAGGATTTCATGGGGAGATATTACAGATGGACTGCGCTGGTTTATGATTTTGATTAATGGCTGGTTTTAGTTGCTAGGTCATCAATTATTTCTCCTATCACGCAAAAGACCATTATTGTTAGTATTATTAATGTTATTTTAATTGATTAGTAAAACGTAGATGACAAGGAAAGACATCAAATTCTTGTTTACACTACATGTGCAAAAAAAGGGCAAGGATTTTTATTTTCTTGTTTTTATTGTCTTTTGATATTTAATTAGGTACATGATTGTCCCGACAAAGAAAATTTTGGCATGGAGCAGGTGGACAATGAGCCAAAACACCCGACTGGAAGTAAATCATATGCTCAGGAGAAAGATAGTGCTCAGCAGATGGATTGGAAGTCAAATTGTCAAAGCAAAGCAAAACAAAATGCTCAGAAGAAGGACGATGCAAATAAAGCAAAAAACAAGAAGACTGATGAGGAGAAGATTAGGATGAAGGAAGAGAAGAAACGGAAGAAAGAGGTCAGCAAATGGTTGATTATTGCTAGTTTTCTGTGTTTAAGGTTGATTAATCTACCTCAATCAATTGTGCAGGAAGCAAAATTGCAACAAGCTATCATGAAGGCTGAAGCCGCAGAGTTGAAGAAGTTGCACAAAGAGAAGCAAAAATGGGAGAAAGGGAAGTTTGCCTTGAAATCCATTGTAGCGGAAATTGATGCAAAAGTGGTTGAAATGGGTTCAATTGGAGGTAAGGTGATAAAAATGCTTCCTCGTTGTCATTTTATTTTGTTTAATCATGTCAAACTTGTTATTAAAGTCATAACCTCACTATCTTAATCAAACAAGTTTTGGTTCCAGGTCATCTTCTTTCTAGGTTTACTGATAAAGGACTTACGTTCCGCATAAAGGCGAATCCGATTGAAAGATCAATCTTGTGGACCATGACAGTTCCAGAACATTTATCACAGGTGAATAGTGATTGAGGCATCTAAATTTTCTGTGCTCCAAAATATTACGATTTCTCTATTTGACATTTTGCATGCCTTATTTTGTGATCCCTAATAGCTTCTTCTTCATTTTTATACCTGAGTTTGCATGAACTTCAAATTACTATATGGCTTTAAAAGCCTTTTAAGTGTGGTTATACGATCGACGTAATATGGATACTTATTAATATAGACCTCATTTGGTTTGCTAGAATTGAATTAGCTCATCATGTAATGGGATTTGGAATTATGGATTAAGAATGAATCAATACATATTTCAACCAATGTGAATAAGGTGCACAATTTTGAAAGCTGATTTATTGCAAAGTTCACTTCTTACACCCGTGTTAGTGTTGCTAATTTCCACTGGCAAACTAGTTAATCTTCGTCTAGAAAAATCCAAGGTTTGTTGACTCTAATGACGTTGTGTTGATCTGTTTTTGATTATGGGGAGATGCAATGGAGGAAGTTAGGATGTACAATCACCTTCTCTCTCTTGGGCTACTTTGGGATAGTGTTCTTAATTCCTACAATTTGTTGGAATTATGAAGAATAAGCTAGATAGAAGAGGGTCTTATGCGTTCTGCTCAAGGGAAAATTTCGTCATAGTAACATCTTTTGCATGATAAATTGACAAAATGTCATTAGAAACTGTCTTTGTGACATATGGCATCAGTCCAACAAGTAGATTATATATATATAACAATGGAGATAGCAATGGTAATGCAAGTGGAAGAGTTGAATTGTAATGAATTCTTCCAATATAATGCATGTCATAGACATTGGCCACAGTTGTTCCTTTGAATGGTTTCTTTAGCACATCAATCTATTGCCATGGGCAGAAAAATTATGGAATGTATATGAATGATACCTCCTTAGGAAGTGTGCCTGGAACAATTCTAATTTTATTCACTATTACTTTTGAAAAGATAGGTGTTCTAGTTAGTGTTATGGAGAACGTTAAGCAAAAACTGGAGAATGAGTTTACCCTACATTCTTATGACTGTGGTCTAACAATTGCAGTTATTAAAAGTCAATGACCCAGATGCTGCACCGTTCAGAGATTTTAAGATATCATTATATTCATAGGGCACGGATGTTGTTGGTATACGATGATGTTGATTTGGAACTAGCTATCATCTTGCTCCCTTTTTTGTATAATTTTGGCCGATGATTTGTCTTGGTTTCCATCACCTGTTGATGTTGATCTTTAGCTGTTAATGTGGTAATATATTTCAATCGACCTGTCTTCCTCTACGCTTACTTTGAAATCATGCAACCTAGGAGAAGGAGCATCGTTGGGAGGATTGGTTCTAAGAAATTAAATTGTAAAATACCTGGGCAATATATGTATTGATGTCTTTGGTGCATGGCCAGCTTCTCCATTATTGAGGTGGTCATTACAATTATTTTCTGTATTGATTTGTATATTGTTATTAGGTACTTATCGTAACTAGAGGAACCTATCTGTTTTTGCCCTTCCCCAAGTAGAAGTTATGTAAACTATTTACTTAACTGCAATATCCATTTTGAACCAAGAAAGCCGTACTGATTAATTATTTTCTCAGAATTTCCTCTGAAGAATGTTTACATTGAAATACGACAGAAGTCATTTTCTAATATTTGTTAGCAGAAAATTATGAAATACATTTTTGAAGAAAAGATTAGAGCACAGTCCTGAGTACGTTGTGCTGGCGCCGAAGTCCCAGTTCATGGCTGCCGGCACCTGAGGACTGGTGATGGGGTCCTGGGGGCGAGCACCAGGTTAGGGGTTCAGGGATTGGGAGATTGGGTCTGGGAGCCAAGATCTCGGGTTGGGGTTATGGAATCCAAGTCCGGTTCACAAGGGACCCGTGCACGGGTGTCTCGGATGTAGGCCTTCAAGGACCATCAAGGTACTGGGCTGCAGGGCCGCAGGTCCTGGCACTTAGTGGAAAATTGTAGCTGACTGCTCAATGAGAAATGACCCATTACATCATGAGATTTTAAGGCAAAAATTCTATTTCCAAATATATTTCTAAGAGCTTGCCAAACACGTCATCCTCGACTAGCATATCAATTTTTAAATCCTAATTCAGAACATTGATGTCTACATATTAATATGCACTTCATTTTAAAATAGATGAGAACAAAAAATTTTACCTTGACTCTTCAAATTGGAGGAGCATTGAACGAAGTGACTTCATCAAAGCTTAGAAAGAGCTACAGGATGTAAATGAAAAGAAGTTGAATTATAGCTATGGAAGCTATTGAGGGTGCAAGGCAAGTGAGGTTCAACTCAGCAGGGACACGAGTGAGGTTCAAATAAGCAGAGCAATGCGTAGAGGTTGCTGGAGCGAGTGATGGAGCAGGTGATGAACTGAGAAGATGGAGATTACGGAGCGAGTGATGGAGAGCCCTAAAATGTCAAAGAAGGAGAAGCCGTTGTTGTTGAGAGAGAATCAGAGAAATGGCGATTGATGAGTGGTAGCTTGGAAATGTATCTTCTGAGAGTGAAGATTTAAGGTCGATTTTGCAGTTGAAGGGAGGAATATAGCTGTGAAGTGAGAGAATCATGAACAAATGGCCCGGTCCCAGAACCTGGTTCAGAGCTCTGATGTTCTGGGTCTAGACCTCAAGACCAGGCCACAGGGGACCCGGGTCCGCGCATCGGGGTCTTCCTGAGTCCGGGGTTCTAGGTTCGGGTGCTGGGTATTGAATCCTAGTGGTGCGGATCCAAGTCTGGGCTGCAAGGGGCCCGTGTTTGGGCATTGGGTCCTTGTGTTTGGGTGCCAAGGTACCAACTTCGGGTCTCGACAACCCAGTAGAGTCCAGCACTGGGGTCTCAGGTGCAGGCCGCTAGGGACCCGTGACGAGGTGAGGTCCTAAGTCCGAGAGTTGGTGTCCCAGGATTCAGTCAAGGGGACATGGGTCTGGCCATGAGGACCCCAACCTAGGATGGTCTTATGATGCCGGAGGTCAAATTGTATTTTGGAAAATAATTTCTGATTTTTTAAAGTGTAAGTCGTTTTTGTGAAATGAAGTATAGATTTTCCGATGATTACAAATAGATTTTCCGTTGACTCATTTTCCTAACCGATTCAAATGCTGAAAAATGGGGAAAATGTTTGCCTATAGTCTATTTTCCGCGAAATAAATGGTGTTGTAATGTGTTAAGGAAGGGGTTAATTTGTTCAGTAGAAGTAATTAAGGGGATTTGTCTAAAAGGAAAGGTAATTAATGGAATTTAGAATCTTATTTACTATATTATTAATAGGTTTCAATATTTAATTATCAACTATTATTAAACAGTTTTTATTTCTAAACTCAGCACTTAAGGTGGTCCACACGTGAAACTCAGTCGCCAATTTTTAGTTTTATCAAACAAGTGTATTGTTAAACACTTCTATTTTATTCAACATTCCCATTTCAGTTATCTATTTAGCGACTGATGTAGACATAAAAGTTGCTGGATAAGAACTTTTGGTGTCGTCAACGTTCTTCGAAATTGTTAAAAACTCTTATGTATCCAATAAGAGTGATTAATAATGCATTTTCAACTTGTTAGAATACATGGCTTAACCTTAAAACTATGCCAACATATTGTAATTAGTTTTTATTTACGCACAGTATATATGTTTCTCAATTCCAAAACTTTATTCGAGGAGTCCATTTTGCTAAAACCATTTTACAAGATCTTACCAAGCAACAGGAGAAAAAAAAAACATAAAGAAGAGTTTTACAATTCGGGACAAATTTCTAATCCTATAACTGATACAACATTTTTTCAATCAGTTCTGGTACATACTGTGTGCTGGTACCGGTATCATGTGCCATCTATAATGAATGACAGTCTAGGTAATATCGGTCTCACTAACTCATCAATCAGTTCTAGAGCTCTCATTCTTATATTTTTAATCTTTTTTTTTAATGCATTTAATACTCGTGCTTTTGTTATGACCTTGCTGGAAAGAATTTTAGCTACATAGATTCATATGAACATATTTGAAAATGATGCTGAAATGTCTCTTTCTGCATTAAGTAGATCATAGAGAATTATTAACCACACCATCATCATTTCCTAATCGTCTAATGTTCAAGCTGTATTGAGAAGTTGATGTTAGATGTCGTCCTGATAATTCTTCCCAGGTAATCGGAATATCAGGGGATCAACCTGCAGACTGGGCGTTCATTGCAATATTCTCAATTGTTTTTCTTTTCTGTTCCATGTCATCTTTTGCCTTGTTTGTCAGTAGTTTTGCATGTATTTTTTTACTTGCTCTTTTCTGCTTCTTTAGATGCTATACTAATGTATTGATCTTTCTAAATCATGCAGCTTTGTCCTAAAGAAACAGTTATTTCATACATAACACTTGTATATGAGGCTGAAGAATTCTGCAATCTCGTTTCAAGTGGGTCCCTTTTTGATCATTTAAATGGAATCCGTAGTCTTTATCCATCTCATACGGTTTGCTACCTCACAAATAGGTTGATGGCATACATTAACAAAAGGTAAGACGTCTCCATCTGATTATGCTAAACTGTGTATTTTTCATATCTTGCCCTTACTTAGCTCTGTCAATTCTCTTGCATTGTCATAAAATTGAGATATCAAACATGAATCCATATTTTAGGTATATAAATTGTCCAAATAGCTAATATCACGTCCACTTCCAGTCAATAAAGAAAAAAAGACTCAATCTACCCTTACCAACTAAGATAAAGTGCTTATCAAACTAGGCAGAAGCTTTGGATAAGTGTGTCCTGTATTCCCGGATTCATTGTCGTTATAGTTGATTTTGGAATTTTCAAAAAGTACAAAAACATTCTAGGAGAGTGCTCATGATGACCTCATTATGGTATGCTGCTCCATCACCTTCATTGATTAGGAAAGAATTACCTCGCTCAGGGCTATTCATGCCGCTAAACTTAATGTCATATTGTCTAGGCATGCTTTGCGCGACGAAATTCTTGGAAAAAAGGACGACGTGCAAACTGAGTATAGCCAATTTTGAAACGCTTCTTGCTTGTGTAGGCATACTACGGCAAAAACTACAAATGATTATATTCAAGAGAAAGTTGGTGTGGCCCCATTTACAGATTAGATTAATGAATTTATCGAGATAGTTTGGACATCAAGACAACTTAAACTGATTGAGGATGCTTATGTGGTGAAGTGACTTCACTATGGGTCAAGAGGTAAAAGGAATAACTTAAAAGATACAATTATGCTTAAAAGAACTACAATGATGTAAAAGAATCGCGTAGGCTACCTTTCTTATTGATTGGTTCAGGTAGGCTACCTTCTCTAAAACTGTAGCCTACGTTTTCTTATGTTGCAACAGACTGTAACTATGTATAACCCTCAGAGAGAAAAACAGAGGTCGTCTCTTTAATATCTTTAAACTCGGAAACTTCCCACCCAAGAACATGTTTTCTTTATAGGACATAGCATTACGCTCATTGGCGATGACACCTAATTTAGCACTTTGTAAACACTTGTACTATTTAAACATTCTTAGAGGGTAGGAATTCTATGTGATAATGTTCTCAAATGTAATACAGTAAGAGGAAAGGTTCTTCTCTATCTGGCACTAGTATTACTTGCACCAAAAAGAAACCCTCCTTGAATCACTTTTTTTTGGTCAGATTCAAATCACAATATCTAGTTAGTATTGGCCCCTGCAAAATGGAGGTTTTTCTGGCTTTCCCATAGAGAAGATGCAAGTTGATTTGGCAACTACACTATTGAGACCAGTTAAATCTATGGGAGTAGCCCCCACATGCTTGCAAGTCAGAGGTAGTCTGGATTCTGGAAAATTTGGATGTTGTGTAAGATAGGTTTCGGAGGGACGAATAGGTCTATGATATACTAGCGGATGATTAGTAGCAAATCTCAACTGAGAGCCTGTATAAGATCACTATATCAGTTGACATCATGTCTAAGAACTGGAACAATTTGAGTCTGGTTGACCAGAAAGAGAAATCTGCCTTAATTCCTGTATCTGTCGATGAATGTATGTACAAAAATGTACATCAAATAATTCTTGCAGTGTGTTTGATCTAAACAATCTGCAGTTGTCACTATTCTTTATACCTTTTTTTCTTTTTCTAGCTGTCATAACCACGTTCGACTAAAAGGGCTTCTTTGCTGTCATTAACATTGGTAACTAGTTTCTTGTGATGATCATCACTGGAACATATTGTAATGAATATGAAATGCGGTTGCTGGTTTGAACAAGGCTGTCTAGAACTTGCTGGATTTAAGCTTCATAAGCGCTTATCTATTATGTAAATTGATGCATAGGTTTTTGCATCATATGTTAGGGAGCAGCAACAGTACAAGAATCCAGCCAGTAACGGTTGGCAACGACCACCAGTTGAGGAGGTGACTACTTTTCTTTTTTTAACATATTGCAACTATGAACCTTGTGTTTACTTGCCTCTGTTTGGAAGTCCTTGTGCAGTTTTGTTATTATCTTTTGGATATTAAGATAACACTTAAAATTTCACTTGCAGGCGTTAGCCAGAATGACAACGCATTTTGCTAGGGTACACTCCAGGCAATGCATAGATGAACCTGAAGTAGCTGAGCACATTGTTGGTCTAACATGCAGTCTAGCCTCCTGCCAATACAGGCAAGGATCAAAAGGCTACCCTAATTAATAATAGAATAGGCAGCCTTCTTTTGTCTTGCACCGGGCATAAAATTATGATTCTCAATTCTAGTAACTTAAAGTGAATATAACAATCGAGTTAGAACCCAAGTTCTGTTCTTGAGCTAGGAAGCTATCCTCAGGCAGCCTTTGGGAGCCCATATGGGATAGAAATATCATATCCGATGTATGGTGGTGCACTTGGATAGGAGAAGCCTGGATAACTTCATATTTAACTCTAGGTATAGTTTTTGGGCGGGACAAATTTAATCCCCCTTGGTTTGGACAGCATGAAAGATAAAGCAAAACCCTAAAGAAAAGAATGAAAGTTTCCTTCCAAGCAAAGATGGTGAGCAGTGGTGCCACAGCCGGTTACGATCATCCCGTGGTGGTCGCCTGAGATTTTTTTGTTTTTTTCTTTTCTGATTTTTTTTGGGGGGGGGGGGGGGGGGGGGTGACGAGGAGGGAGGGGGTTGGGGGCACTAGAATTGAACTTCTTATTTGTTTAATCGATGAATTTCCCGTCCTTTTTTTTAAACGATTTGTATAGTTGTTTAGTATCTTTGCCAAATTCGATTTATCATGGCTGCAACATGATAAATTTTGTCAGAGTTTCCAACCAAAAGTTTTATAGTTATGCGAAAAGTGTACCTTATAGGTTTGGATTCATCCGGCAGAATCTTGTTTTTTGTTGGGGGTGGGAATTTGAATTATACATTTGATTAACTCTCTCTCAACTTCCTATCATTTTTCTTTCATTTTAAATTGTACAAACATTCATGCACTCTACAGAACAATGAGTTAGTTACCTAGATGTGTTTGGATTGACTTTAACTTTTTACTCTTTGCTTTTATAAAAAAAAAAAAAAAATTAAAGAGGAATGGGAGCAAGGTAGAGTTTTAGTTGTCGCTAATCATTTTGAAGGTCATTCTTTAAACGATTGAAGTATTGCTCCAGAATATCAATAGGCCTCTTGTTTATGAATGAATGTCAGCAAATTAAATCAGCTATTTAGCTTAATGTCCTCAATCTGACATTTTGCTGTATCTTGAAATGCAGAAAGAAGTTATCATGGCTTTCTGTTAATGCTAATGGATCCATCATTCCTACGGGTTCTCTTGACAGGAGCTTAATTAAAAATAACTGCTGGTAATTACCCTTTTTACTGTCAACAGATAGTTACAACAAGGATGCGCACTGTGCATAGCATATAAATGTGAAAGGGTTGTAAGAGATGCCTTTTTCCCTTAGCCTAGACTTGTATCGCGTTTTATATTGTTTCCATGAACAGCTAGAGGATAATAACTCTCAGATTCATCTAAGATGAGGTTTTAATTAGTATTTTTCTCGATCCATTAGGTTAGTGGGAGCATTTCATGAATGTTAGGTTTCTCTACTTAAGGGGGAGTTCCACGTCTTAGAAAAACTTGTAGTTACATGTACAACCACTGTTCAATCAATCAGGTTAATTACTCAGTAACCACACCTAGTAGTAAAACTATGTCTACTATATGACAGCTAGGAGTGAGCAGAATGCAGTTCAAGAATGAGTGATGGACTTGAATGTTGTTTTAAAACATTAATGCACCTTTGACAACCAATATTACAAATTGTGATGCCATCAAGTCAAGCATCAACTAAAGGCTTCAGTTGACCCTAGTCAAGAATGAGTGGATTATAACAGAAACACATGCTCTTTCCTTTGAAGCTGTTGTGCCCCAAGTCAAAACCATAAAACGCATCGCTGAGAATTATGATGTTGGTTGCTGGCATTCATGTGGCCTAGACTAGAGAGGAGTTTGCAATTGACTTAAGGGAAGAGGTTTATAGGTTGTCTGGAGTGACTTTTATTGTTTACTTGTTTCAAATGTTGCGGCATGCATACTTTGGTTTTTATTCTAATTTTAAGCATCCAGAACTTTCAGAATGTACAAATGTTAACAGTTCGATTCACATTTTAACGCTTGCATAATGTTGTAATTTTTTGCGGGACAGCAAAAAAATGTGTCTTGCTTTTTAGAAGTCAAAACTAACAAATTCTAGACTTAGATGTATGATCCAACTTGGTGATTATAACCAGAAAAGGAAAGCACAGTAGAAAATGAGCTGCACTTTGCTGTTATCCTAAATCTTCAATAACCCGACATCATCCTTTATTATGATCATTTGATAGGGACACAATCCCTTTTTCTTGGATCAAATACAATTTTATGATTACAGATTTACTACGAGACAGTCGATACCTTATTCATGAGCTTTAGCAACTCTTGTAAGATTAGGAACCCCAGTAGCAAAATTCACATTTCTTTGTCTGCGTTGTTTTGTTCATTGTGCTTGTGCACTCCATATTAATTGTGCTCCTCTTTTAGCGCCTGAAACTATGCATTAGTTCTTATTTTTTATGTTTCTTGATAAGGATTCAGCCATTCCGAGGAAAGAGTAGTGTATTTTTCTCTGTCCCGGGTACAGTCCACATTACTAAGATCTAGTTGAGGCCTCCCCCAACTCCCCCAGCCCAATCCCAAAAGAGAAAAAAGAGAGGAGAAAAATGTAATGTTAAACTTGCTATTGACTTAGACATTTAGGAAGACTCCTCTTTTGCATAGGAAAGTCCAGTACCCTCTCACCCTTTTTTCTGTGCAAAAATGAAGAAAAGAAGAGAGAAGACTCCTCCTTTGCATGCTCTATCTTTATTGGAAATGTAGCAACTTGTGGGTTACCTTATATGGGGCAGTTCTCATGTCATATTTTGTCTGGCGTTTCACCACCAGGTTGAAAGCGTTGATGGCTGTTCCAAAGGTACAGCCACGATTTGCTGTGGCTATATGGAAGAAGTACCCGACCATGAGATCTCTTTTGAATGTCTACATGGACCCAGACAAAACTGTAAGCATCTTCTCAAGCAATTTTTACCTATCATTGATTCTGACAGTGGGCCGTCACATTTGATGACTATGACTATGGCAATGTGCTAGCCTAGCATTTTTCTGCCTGTGTTTTATAGCTTTAAAGCTCTCGTTCGGTTGAAAAATTGCATAATATATTATTGGTTTAGCAATTGAGGTGCTGAAATCAGATATGCTAAATGCAGTTTCTAGACGAGTATCCTCAACTGTAATGTTAGCAATATCCACTAAAAGTAGGAATTATTGAGAAATTGGGGGAGGTTTGTAAAGCTGGTTTCATTGAAAGCATTTGTGATGGAAGAAAGAGATGGTAGAGGGAAAAAGGACGAGCTTCTTTAGGCGTGACCGATAAAGGTCGCTCCATCAGTCTTAGCAAGAGATCGCATTGCAGGGTTCAATAGCAAACAATTGTTTGAAACTCGATACAATTGACTTATACATGCAATGGCACAGCTTTGTCAAAACTTGGTAATTTGTGTCCATCTTTTCAATTGCTATCAGCCTGTTGATTTCTGGGGCTCCATGAACTTCATATGGCAGGAAGCCAAAAGGGGTGCTGAATTTCTTCCTTGTTTGCAACCGTCCTCGTATTAGTAGCTGATCATTTCCAACCATCTTCGAGACTTGTTTCATTTCCCATTGGTTGCTTTCACTGGTTAATTTTTCCTGCATTGCTGATTTTTCCATTGCACAACCTAAAATTAGCAGTTTCAGTTGTATTGGATACTTGTGGAGATTGTTAGCTTTTGCAGGTCTGGCTCATAACTATCAAATTTCTACCAATTAGTTTTATTAGAAAGATTATAATATGCTTTTCTATCTTTCATGATACAAATCTCCCCATGTTTTTTTTTGCTTAGTTCCAGGAGTTTGTGTTGTTTGACATGTACCTTGGTGAACGATATCTCAGGAGTTAAGTAGTGGACAAGAGGATTCTTGAAGATGGCCCTGTGCATGTGAACTGAATGGCCACCGTTGAAGGATTGGAAGGAATGCTCAGATTGGGAGCTGAGCATAAAATTCTTCTCATGTTTTTTGGAACGTTGCATCCCGCATGCTATGCTTACAATTTGTTTTTTTACTTCATTTCTTTTGTATAGGACTTATTTTAGTCTCTTTGTACTCTGGAAATCTTTTTCTCTAGATTTTTATCCAAAGAGACCAGAAATCCATGAGATAAGTGTTGAATTTTTTCTTTTTTTAAAGTTTTTTGCCTCGGAATAATTTTCTTCCTAGGACTGTGAAGTACTTGTTAAAAGTTAAATATACATTGGAAATGAAAGGAAGGAAGCTTTTAATTTGCTTTTTGCTTTTAAGTTACCAAGTGTTGAAAGAGACGCTGAGGAGCAAAAGTGGCTAGCATTCTCTTGAATGTGGGGTCTGGTGGAGAATAGTAGGAAAGTTTGTTTAAAAATTTAGTTAAAATGACCTAAAAAGAGATGCTGTGACTCCATTGCATTTTATGAAGATTTTGTCCCTCGTGGTCTACAGGAATAATAAGTCTCCTATTTGTCTCAACAGCTCTTCACTTTTTGCTATTTAGAAGAGAATGTGATTTGTTTGTCTTAGTTCTTGACCAATGAAGCTTCCTGATATCATTCTTAGATGCTTCAACATCTCTGATCGCAGGTACATGAAAAGGAATTTCACCTTAAGGACTTGACGACAGAAGGTTTACTAGGTGAAGACAGAAGATTAGGCGAGGTGTGCTCTAAAAGAGTGTACAGAATATTCATGGCTCAAAGCAGCGGCATAAGGACCGATGATGTGGAGGACGGTGCTGATTTTTTCGCAACGTAATTCCTTGTCAAACCTCCCTGGCAATTGTATTGTTGGTGCGCATATTGTCTTGGCAGAGCGATCCGCATCTGTTGCATAGTTTTTGCTTTTCAAATGGTGGGCAACAAGCCGTTGCTAAAGTGTATTTGGTTGCATTCAGTCATTCTTGTCCCTTCTTAGGATTTATGTCCTCAATTAATAGGTCTTCCAATGGTCCATGTGTACAGCTTTTGTTCCCCTATTAATGTTATTCAAACGACACTCTGCCTACCTCCACATCTTATTCCCAATGTATGCGAATTTGAAATTTATAGGTCTTTCCTGAACTATTTAAAATTTGGGTAATCCATGTCAATCTTCTTTCGGTGCTGCATCTTTTATCGGTTTATATATCTATTGGCTTATTCATAGATCCGTGAAGCACATAATTTACTATTGAGTTATTCGAACTCGTCGGATTTTAGAGTATGATCTGGTAGGTAGGTGGCCATTGTTAGCAACTACAAAACGACTGGAAAATATGGTGTCTATCAGGAAGTGTAGAAAGAATTTTTGTAAACTTCTAATCTACATCTATGGCGCCTTTCATCTATTTCAAGCAACCCAAGCAATCCGCATAGTTGCTTTCAGAGCAGTGTTATATCCAAAGGCAAAGGAATAGAAAATCATGCACGTTGCTTGTAATCCTGGAAGGATCTCAGCTCTTTCAGAAGTAAGTTCTTGGTTCTGGTTTTCTGAATCAAGAAATTGAATAGATGCCAAATTTTTTTTGGTTTGTCCTATCTCTAACTCTCCTCATTTTTTGACTTTTGTCCTGCAAGAGAGCCGCGGGAGAGTCGAATCCTATATCCGTGATATTGGCGTTTTCATCCCCTTTAATCTTTTTATCAGTAAGACCATGTCTCTATTAATATATGCCAAATTTAAAAGATGCCTCTTTGTGGCTGCATTTATTGAAGACAGTTGCCTCAACTACCTCTGCACAAACATTTGACTTGGATGAGACGCTATTTATTAACTCTCTCTCCATCACATGGGACATACTTGTCTAATCAGACAATGAGCCACCATTTGCAACCTAGCGTTGCTCCCCAAAGGAAAGGACAGGACAGGCAAGGTGGGAGTTGCACTCAGCTAATCAATATGAACTGTTAGGTGCCACATTCTGAACATGATTGGGCCTTGTGGACCTTGGCTCCAATTCACCCACTAGCGGCGGTCAAATCCACTGGTCAGAACTTACCCACTCCTATCTCACAACAGCTCTGGCCACCAATGCCCATTTATCTCCACATGATTCCTTCTTTTCTTCTGTTTCAGGGGAAAATAAGGAGCATCCTGCAAACACATTTCTAAATTTCCTATGTTGGCCTTTCTGGGTTCTCTTGGGTGCACATGAAATTCGACGAGCAATTTGGCTTTCTACTTGATCGGACTTTGAAATGAGAAATAAATCCATCATATCAATTAGCATCCGGAGTATCGTGCATGATTTAGTTAGCTTAATTGACTTTCCTGTTAACACGGATGATGCATTTAAGTAATTGAACCCCTAAAATCCATCGTTGTCTCCCACTAAACCCATTTAAATCTAATCAACAGATACCATACCTCATCCCATCACCACAAACGGCTCGTCCTCTTGCTGTTGCATAACCCAATAAAGTCCTGTCGATGCCAACGCATGCCGCATTATAGAGCTAATAGCACTGAAATAGGTATGCACGGGATGTATTGTACACTACATTTCTTGTCTCTATATAAGATATGATAGAGTCTGCCATTCCTCCACAAGGTCTCTCTGAATATGGAGAAAAGCAAGTCATTCAACGGTTACTCTGCATCTTACTCGGAAATGAGGCTCGGGTTTGAGGAACGGTCCAAGTCGTACAGCTTCAATGGCCCCAGCAATGCCCTTGACGGGTTGGAGAGTTCCGGCAACCCGGAGCTCAAGAGGAGGAGGAGGGTGGCCAGCTATAACATGTACACGATGGAGGGCAAGCTCAAGTCCTCGCTGCGCAACAGTTTCAAGTGGATCAAGAGCAAGTTCTCCGACGATTCCTACCCCGTGTAAAATGCAACAGATGCTACTCTTATTCCTTCTTTCTGCTGCACATTGGAGTTCGGTTTGAAACTCTTATAAACAATCAGAAGCTGGAGAATATGACAGCTTAGACGGGGAATGCGATTCCATGGCTCATAAACTTGTGTATCTACTAAGAATGTTCATTGCTTCGAATCTTCTCTTTTTGCTCCGTAAATGTAATGGGGTTGAGATAATTCAAGTTGAGTGAAGATGGGATGTGATTGCAGTGTTAAATTTCAGGTTCTAGTTACTGCAAAAAAGAATTTAGAAGATATGAAAGAGCAAATATCCGCGCAGCCGACTGCTGCAACTTTCGCCTGATTTTCCCATGAGATTGTTCACGCTGACATCTCCTTTGCTTCATCATAGTAAAATTGATTCTGTTGATATTGATCCAATTTTCTAGAATGGTGAAGAATATTCTAGTATCCATAAAGATGTAGAATACATATTAACATCAAGAGAACTCCAGAAGGTTGAGCCAATAGCTTTCTAAGGAAGTGGGTGGAAGAGACCTATCTTGCAAAACCACTTTTCATAAAACTGTTCTCTCAGCTTGTTCCAACTATTCCACCGAGTTCTCCTTTTCATAACCAAATGACTAGCCTTATATATTGGAACTCCATAAATAAAAAAACTAACAGTGATATCATAGTCTCGTTCGATTGGTATCGGGTGTTTGTCATGTTTACCAGCAACTAAAATCACCCACTTAAATATCCGACACCAAAACTATGGCTAGCTCTACCTCGCACTCACTATCTATTCATACTTTCGACGGAAATAACTATGACTATTGGAGTACAAAAATGACTATTGTCTTGATAGCGCAAGATTTATAGGAATCATAGAGAAAGAATATGCAGCTCCGAAAGAAGGTGCAAGCGTTCCGACGGAGCAAATACAACAGGATGCAAGGGTCTTCATGCCATCTAGCAAGTGCTCTCGGAAACGACATTTTGGAAAATCATTGGAGCGAACGCCGCAAATAGGGCATGTGATATACTACAAGAAGAGTGCCAAGGCACAGCAAAGGTATGTCCCATTAGACTTCAATCTCTTGAAGGGAATTTGAAAATACTAAAAGGAAAGATTATGGGACCATCCAGCAATATTGTGGCAGATTAAAAGTAGTAAATCAAATGAGGGCCTATGGGCTAAATGGTAGTAGACAAAACATTGGTGACACTTACCTAAAAATACAACAGGATTGTTCCACTACCCTTTGGTCAGTGATATTATCTTCGCAGGCCCCCATTTGCTTTACTGGTTCTTTTAATTTGCTACAATATTGTTCGACAATCTCATCATCTTTCATTTTGGCATTTTCGAACCTTTTCTAGGAGATTGAAGTCTAATGTTGCGTACCTTTATTGCGCCTTGAATCTCTTCTTGTACAGTAACCCATGCCCTAGCTCCAATCATTTTCGAGAATGCTTGCTGGATAACACATGGAGCCCCTGCATCTTTTTGTAATTAATCTGCCGAAACACTTGCACCTTCTTTCGGAGCCGTATATTTTTTCTTCGCAATATCCCATAAATCTTGTACCTCAAGATTTTAATTCTCCGGTAGTTATAATTATTTACATCGAATGTGAGGTAGAGTTGGCCATAATTTTGGTGTTGGATATTTAGATAGGTGAATTTAGTAGTAGGTGGATAAGACAAATGCCCAATACCAACCGAAGGAATTTCTCTTATATCACTGTTAGTTTTATTATTTATGGAGTTTGGATAAATAAAGGCAAGTTATATGGTTTTGAAAAGGAAATCTCGGTGGATTAGTTGGGACAAGTTGAGGGAATCGTATTAGGAAAAGTGATTCTACAAGATTTGATGCATGAAGAGGCTGCGGACTTAGTTTCTCTGCACCTGCAACAAGCACTCGATGACCTATATTTATAGGCCTCTATTTTCACTCTATGCTTCTCGAATTTTTACTGTTTGGTTAAGAGTTGCCTCACCAAGAAAAGGGAGTATTAACTCTTACGAGAGTCTTCGTGGTCTCAGGCTCCACGAATGCATTTCTTATTTTAACGTGTTGGCGTCCACACGCCTCGCACTCTCAATTCCCCTCTGTATCTCTGTCTTCCGAAAGATGAAATACCCTCTAGAAGTTTTATATCACGGCGATCCCAAAGTCTAGACAATGACCAAAATAAAGCTTTTTAGAGACTTGCTTAGGTCCAAATGACCTATATTTATAGGACTCTATTTTCACTTTGTACTTCTTGGCTAATTTCTGATTGGCCTCTTTATTCATCAATTTCTAACAAATCTTCTTCACGTGGAACGTCTTTTCAGTGGTGGATATCATCTTGAGGCCGAGTGCGTAACTGATCGTCAATTCTAGAAGTCCAACATGTTAGAAAGCTACATGCACTATAATATTTTCTGTCACAGACACTCCTCTTCAAGGAAAGGCTTAGCAGGATCATGAAAACTTGATACATTTGAACCTAATCCAAATGCGAACAAGAGAAAGAATAGTCGAAATCCGTGAAACATAATGAAGACAAGACCAATTTCAGATCGCAGACTGGAAATGAGTTCAAACAAAAGCTTCTCGGTAGGGCAGGATAAGGGCATTACTTACGTGAAGTTTAACGTCAATCTTCTCAGATGCCTACTATGCATACTTTTTCCCATTTTGCTTAGATTTCTACATATATCATGTTGTAAAAAGATGGAGTCAAATAAGTGCATCGTGCCGAAACAGCACAAAGCCTGGTGCTGTCAAAGTCAGCATCCATGTACTTGCACTAGTAAAACTAACTCCTTTGCTATGAGTTGAAGTAATCATAATTCTTCTCAGATGCCTACTATGCATACTTTTTACATATATCATGTTGTAAAAAGATGGAGTCAAATAAGTGCATCGTGCCGAAACAGCACAAAGCCTGGTGCTGTCAAAGTCAGCATCCATGTACTTGCACTAGTAAAACTAACTCCTTTGCCATGAGTTGAAGTAATCATAATACAATTGAGATAATGACGGATCAAATGATAATCCAATCACTCTTTAGTGGTTTTCAATCTCTTATACGATTGAAAAGGCGAACATACTTTTCCCATGGCTTCTTTTAAATGGTTTGATGGGTATTCAAAAGCCATATTAAGTGCTAGTGGCCACATACGAGAAACATTTATAAGAAGGCACGGAAGATTTTCTAATCGTAGAAAATAGATAGAGCTAACTAAGAGACATAATCACATCCCTTTTAAAAGTTTTACGACTTTCGACACATTTATGCCGTATACTTGAGTAGTTATCTACCAGAAAAGAGCTCCATTACAAATCAAGCACATATGTTGGATGAAACGAAACACCTATGACTAAGATACAGATTACCTTCTGCAAACATTGAACTTCAGCCCTCCAAGGGCAACTACATTGGGACAGATCTATCAACCATTTATCCACATCCCAAGCAACTTCAAAGCTCAAGCGCACTGAACCAAAGTTAAACTCAAATGTCAGAGTTCATAATAGATCCCCATATTTTCAAGATTTCATTTCCATTATCGGAACTCCTAAAAAGACAAGATGAACTATGTGATATCAGAAGACAATTTGATATCCACCGCAAATATTTGATGAAACAGGTAGAACTACTCAGAAGTGAGAAAAGGTGGCATTAAATAGATGACAAATATCTCAACGCAAAGTAGCAACAAACATAAAAGATCAGAGCAATCATGAGACCAATGGAACATCATTTAATGGTAACAATTATTCTACAAGATGACATGAAAAGCATGAAAAGTTTATTTGCATAGTTTCCACTAGATTTGGAGTGCTGGACAAGTAATTGACTTAGTAAATTCTACATCGTTTCTAGGTATCAGAATGCCAGGTGAAATAAACACTGGCTTTCGTAGAGCTGGAGAATGAAATCAGCATCGTTTGTTTCTAATGTAGATCTATGTGAGTAAACTAGTGAAATATAAACAACAAATATCCAGTCGTCGCACAAGGATTCTGAGGAGGGCCTGCCTGTCAATCCCACCGTTGAATCTTGTACTTCTCCAAGCATGATGCATCAGCATATTATCTAACAAATCCACTAATGCTAATAGTATCCCCATTAATAACCTTTCCTGAGGGCAGTCCCAGATCAAACGGTCCCAGAGTGTCGGTCTGCAGCAAACAATAGCATCTAGCAGATTAGCAGAAGTTCCAGTTTTAGACTTAAGCCCTATAAGCTACGATATGAGCTATGACATACCCATTGGATTCCTGCTAGACCAAGGCTGCTTTCGTCATTATAAACTCGTGAACAAAGCTGGAGGGCAGTTTCAGATTCTTGAAAAGCATCAGCATTGAAAGTTTCGGGTTCAATCTTGATCTGTATGTCATCCTATGAAGCATAGTAAAAGTGAGAGTTGTGCTATAAACATGTCAAGTACACCAAGCCAACTGCAAGATAATCTGTTTTTCTTGCCAATAACCCAAGACCTTGGCAACATGCATTTCCTAAGCAAAGCAAAATTCTATTTTACCAAAGCCTTTATTATGATTATTTGGAATGTAAAGACAAAAGAGAGCTCAATACATGACAATAACCAGAAACACTGGAAGCATAAGATTACTCTATCAGAATAGGATCTCAACTTTATCTGTCCCTGGTGTTTTGCGCACACTATGAAGAGCATGACCCCCCAACGTTTCCAACTAGCAAGCCCTTTGCACAGATGATTACGGAAGGACCACAAGGACACTAGCTCATTCAACATAACGCTAGTTTAGAAGTGGCAACTACTATCTCATTCAACATTAAGACAGCTCCAAACTTCCTATTCACAGAATGCAACAATTGCTTCACATGGGTTAAGCTAATCGGTGCCTTAATATCAGACAAAAAAAATGTAACTGTAGAATCAGCACCCGGCAATCAATGGATGGCTGGTAAGACTATTCCACATGATTCCCTGTATTCTTTTTCTTTCCCTTCGTTTTTCCTACTATTTGTTAATATCTAAAAAGTAATGTGTGCTAGGAAGTCAAGCAATCTAACTGAAAGTCTAGAGGTCAAATATTCACAAAGAACTTCTCAAAGAGTAAATAAAAAATAATGGGTATTGAATGTCTTTTATGGTCTGATCCTGATGGCTTTTTCAGCTGAAGTATTATCCCATAGAAGATCATGGACACAATATGACAAGAAAATGAGCTTAAGAAGTTGACAAACCTCAGCTGCTTTGAGAAATTGGCAAGGCCTGGCTCCAATTTCCGTGCAGGAGAGCCCAGCACTGCTACTTCCATTTGAAGTCGATATATCTTTGCTCATAGAGGACTTCTTAAAAGGAAATGCCATGCACGTATCTTCAGCATCCAAAATGGATGAACATGGCTCATTTGTTGACAGCTTTTTACTTTGAGAATGTTTAACATGTGTAGTAATCAATGCATCAAATGAATCAGAGGTACATTGGGAGAAATGAGAGGTTGGAACACACCCATTTGTCTTTGACAAAAAACTGCTGAACATGCCCTGCAAGGATGCCTCTGAAAGCAGACCCCCAATGCTAATGTTTGTGAGATTATCAGTCCATATTTCTGATGATTGCCCGAGACCCCCTTCATTGCACTCAACAGTATTCTATTTTCAAAGGATGAAAATAGTTAGAAGACAAAAATATCCGCATGGAACACGTGAACAACAATTCTTGAAAAAAAAAATATCTTCATAATAAAGCAATTGGACGAGCAAATCAAGGTAATCGTTATGGACGATATCATAGTGAAACCAAATGTTCCAGCTTATGGACCTACAATGGCAAAGCCAAAATACATATACCCTGAACCTACACATATGAGGCTAAGATGGCAAAATGAAGAAGGAAACCTTTAGAAGTCAAATCTATGCTAGAAGGAAAAATATCTGAACCAGATTTTAGTAAGAGTCGAGAAACTTAAGTCTACACCTTTGGAACCTACAACAATGGAAAACATGTCAACAATACATTTTAAAAAAAAGTCACAACCACACCAGCATAGAAAAATGAGCCTTGCTACTACCTAAGTTTTCCACAAGAAGTATAGACACTGAGGGTAATAGAAACAAGACATTTCAATATACATTGCCATGTGAAGAAAATTTCAACCACCTAGTATATAACTTCCTATTTTCTTCTACCCCATTTTAAATATACTTGCTTTGCTTCATGGAAGCAAGTGTGCATGCAAATGAAGCACCCAACAAAGAGTCCAGATACCAACCAATCGTTAAGAACCTTATAAAACCAAATCTATTAAAAACACAAAAAGTGGCAGTAGATATACCATCCGATCTACTGGATGATCCACTAAGTTGTCCACCATGATTTCATGGTCCTTCACACCACCAACTGTTTTTGTTACTTCACTATCTGCCTTCTCAAACTTTCTCCCCTCATCACACTTACTATTGATGTTACTTTCACAACCTTTCTGGATGCCTTCATGTTGGTGAGAATACTTGGTGAGAAATGATGCTGGGTTCAGGGACTTTGCCGGGGTCCACTTAGAAGATTTACCCAGGCTTTCACTTCCAGCATTAGAGAACCAGCCATACCTTGACAAGAAATAAATCAGAATGACTTCGTGCCAAATATAAAACTTAATGTGAAAATGCTAAGTGAGCATCAGACCTTAGGCGGAACAACGTAGGGCTACCAATAGCTGCATGGACATCACCTGCACTTACATCTTTATCATCCAAAGTCCATCTGTCAGGACTACTTTTTGCCTCCTCTATGCTATATGGATAAAGGACAGGTTCTCCAGTTGCAATGGTCGAACTTCCCCACTTAGTTTGCAGGTGCTTCACAACAGAGGAAATCCTTTTCTGAGCTTTTAAAGTGAGCTCCAAATATGGATGATGTCCATCCTACAAGTGCGAAAGATGAATATCAGACTCTCTGCTGCAAATATGTCAATTTATGCTTCTTGGCACCCAAGGATGATAATGTCACCTTTTGCAATCCTAAGCGAGTGACTTCATCAATGGGGAAAAGCTGCAACTTGATCTTTGTCGAAGGATCAAGTCTCTGCGCTGGAGAATGCTGAACTGCAGGCAACTCTTTTTCTGTTTCCAAGAGATATTTACCTTGTTCTGGAAAATGAAAAAAAAAAACATGAAAATCTTGGTTTTATTGGAAGGTAGAGCATCTGTATCACTGTAAGCTAACAAAGTGTTCTAGTAGTTTAGACTTCTCTTAAAAGTAAAGGGGTTTGCACAAAAGCATGGACCCAAGACATACACACGTGGAGACTGAAATTTATTATTCTAGCTTCTCCAAAGTAGAGTGAAAACTTAACAAAAGATTTTCTTTTGGGTTAATTCAATGGAAAGGTCACCCCTCATGCAGCAGAGAAAGGGAAACATCTCACCCATACCTTTTAAAACGTGATGCAGCTGACCCGTTCTCTTTACAGATTTATCCCTTCCCTTGTAAACTTTTTTTGCAATGCCACTAGGAGGAGCCTTCACGTTTCTGTCCTTTACAGGTCTCATTGCAGCTCCACTTCACTACTTTCATAGCATTACCTCACACTTCCATTCACAAAGAAAAATTAGAACTTCAAACCAAGGTACATGGAGATCAGATAAATAATCATCATAAAGAATACAAACACTATGCACAAATATTTTGCTGGAACAAAATCCCAGACTGCTGCTTTCATTTTTCCTCTGCCATCATCGCAATATATAATGATACTTCATTAGAAGAAACACGGACACCGATGCACATAGATCAAAGCCGAGTACCCTGGATTACCCATACTTATATCTAGTTTGGCAAAGTGATAGCAATACCAGGTGCACCCTCAGAGGCAGAACAAAAGCAAGCATCAACACATGAAAAGCATGGAGCTCTAATAGCCCATCAACTGGTCATTATTAATTCCCAAGTAACCTAGAAAGAATCAACAAGAAAAGGAACATTTTTACTGTAATCCTAATCAGAAACTTTTTACCCTCTTCCAACTAAAGAAAGAAACAGAAACAGATAGAACAACCCACTATATAGAACTGACTAATCAAGAGTAAGCTTTGTGCATTGGTTTGTGAAGGTGGGTACTGGGGACAAACATAAAGCTTCTAGAAATAGTAAAGTAAAATGAAGTTTGATTCTACTAAATTTAGACAGAGTCATTATTACTGTCAAGAAAATCTAGTGACTAAGTAGCGGAAACAATGGAAGCGATCAAAACACAAACCCCAAATAAACATGCAGACCCCATATACATTGTTCGACCAATTAACCTAACAGTACAATTTCACTAGGAAATACAACTGTACACTCACCTCTCAAACACTATCTCACTCAACCCAGGTGTCGAAATTGCCAAATCTCACTGTGTTTTGCTCCAACCTTTCTGAGAAATCTGGCGGTTAACACGTGCAAACAGTCATAAGACTTCATATTTATAACTCAATCCTAGTCTTACTCAAAATTGGAAACCTACATCACAGGAAAAGGCATAAAAATGGAAAACCCACTGCACCAACAAACCTACAAGATTAGGAAACCTGCTCTTTCCTTATCTTTCACCAATAAAATTAAGATCCATGAAGTTCGACTTGGGCCATAATTTAAGAGACATTTTGTAAAGTCACCGTGTGAAAAGAACATTTCTGTGGGGGAATTCACCAGAAAAGCAATATTTACACGACAACTCTACTGAGCTATAGGGCCTTCAGCACCACCCATATCTAGGAACTACCCTCCGGATGAACAGCATAAGAATAATTGATCTTACTTCCCCAAGCTTCAAACTTTGTCTCTTTAAGTTCACCGTTTCCAGTTAAATTTGACCGAGCGGGCCACTACACACTCACGGATTCCAAATCCCTTAGGCGTCTCCGTCTTTCTAGACAAATTCTACATGGGTTTGCCTCGACAATAGAAACCCTAGCACTCTGATTCACCGCAAGCCAGTAAATTATCAAGCGAGGGATGGGGCAAAAATAACCATCCCGCACACTCCCTCGCAAAAAAAGCCACGTTCGGGATGTATCGATGCCTAACGAAACGAGGAACACGCCTAACGCATCATGCTCCTACGGTGCAGAAAACAAAATCCCCCGTTCGCTCCGTCGGCATCAATCGATGCGCGCAGGAACCCCGGCAAAACACGGAGCAATCGCAATTCAGCCACTCGAGTTCAACCGCAGGTCACCGAAATCGAGAACAGAACCGTTCGATCGGCACAGCAAAGAGGGGACACAAAGAAAACCAAGGTTACGCGCCGCGACCGGCGCGGCAGCGATTCGAATCCGACCGCGCGGATCCAAACACGGATCGCCGCCGCGAGCGGAAGGAGGGAAAGGCAGGCGGAATCTCGCGTACCTCTGACTGATGTTCGATCCGAGCACCGCCGCGCGCGAGAAGGATCGATCGAGCGAGCGAGAGGGAGAGGAGGAGCGAAGATGGGGGTTGGCGGGAACGAATGGTTTCGTATGGGAAATGAAATGTTGCCGCCTCAAATACTGGTGAATCCCCCATTCGCTGGACCGGGCCGGGCCGGGCCGGGTCGGACCGGGTTTTTGCTCGTGAGCCGACCGGAGATTGGGCTTGGGCTTGGGCTTTTTTTTCTTTTGTGGACCGGTTTATATTCCAATTTTTGGAAACCAAATTTTTTTTTATTATTTCTCGATTATTCGAAAAGAATTATGAGAATATGTTTTGCGAATTCGGTATCTACGTGCTTCGAAGGTTCGAGGCGTTTTTCGTTGAATGAAAGTCAAATTACGAAAGCCGCGAGATTTGAAGAAAAAAGAAAGTCCCTATGAAACAACTTCATCGTACAAATATGGCGACAGAGAAAATCTCGACAAAGAGTTACAGCAGAAGCCGTGTGTTGTGTATGGAGTGAGATCAATTATTGGGAAAAGTGTAATCAAGTCATAAAACTTTATTGGAAATTGTAAATTTGAGGGTATCGGCGATGAAGTTCTCAAGTATCACCTAGACAATTTGAATATTTTGCATTGACGGGACTTGTTTTTTCGGAAAAAAAAAATACAGAAAGGACTCATATCGACTGAGTGTTTAGAAATTTATCGTGTCATGTACATATGATTAGATTTACTAACTCTTATTGGTAAACCAACTCTTATTTGAGTCCTTTTACCCATCTTTATTTGATTGTTTTAAATTGCGAACCATTCTAATACTTTACAATACTTTAGTACCATCTATTTGTCAAAATCATGAAGATTTTAATTCTACTAACTCTTATAGGTAGTGACCAACTATTATTTGATCGGTTCAAAACTACCCACTTTTCCAATAACATACCCATATTTATTTCCATAGCTTGCCGACTTGTTCAGATCACTAATTCTTGTAGGAAATTTCCAGCTGTTATTTGGGTCCACAAATCAACGTTTAGTTTAAGGTTAATACCACGAAAAGCCCTACATTGGTACACCTGTGATAAATTTATCCAAAACTAATTTTTTGACCACCAAAAACTCCAAACTGGTACACCTGTGACAAATAACCTACTTAACTTGGAGGTTAGAGTATTGCTTTTATACGGCGGGAGTCGTTGGTTCAAATTCATATATCCACCTCAATTTCGATCTATTTGAAAATTGCTATAATTTTATTTACCCATACATTTACGAATACATAAGAGTTATGTTCGGAGGAAACCACCATATTCTTCTAAATAGATACTTTTGTTATCTATATCTATGTTATATATATATATATATATAAAAGTTGAATTCAATGAATCCGCTTATTGCAATTGCTCAGCATACCCTTTTTTAGCTTCTAGAATCTTTTTCTTAATTCAAGATCTCTCTTACTAACTGAAATCAACAAAAAAACGAATTCATGAAGGTTCAATTAATGAATCGCTTCTCCGTCTCAATGGTATGTATGTTCGAGGTTCATACGGATACGGAAGAAAAGCTTCTCCATTGATTCAAAGGCTATACCTAAGGTATAGGAAAAGATAAACTTTGTACCGCGCACGTAACTTACACGCACTCTAGAAGGTCGCGTAGGAGAGAATGAATAAATAGAATATGAAAAAAGAAAATAACAAGAAACGAAAGGGATCAAATTCTATTCGTCCTATATCTCATATCCATCTTGTCTATTCCCATCCATTAACTCCTTGAGACTAAACTAGACCTTTGCTTAGGTCTTTCAATTCGCTAAAGTATTTCGAGCTATAATGCCACTAACCCATTTTCTCAGTGAAAGTGCCTCTATAGCCTAGATCGTGCTCAGTTGGATAGGTTCTTACTCTTATTTACGGATCGAAATAACAAAATATCAAATCAATCATTCAAAGGAAGGGGGTTGGCAGGGAAGGTCAGCGAGTTCAGAAGCAGCTTAGCGTTCTACCGTTGCCTCAGGAAGTAAGGGCGTAGTAATTCCCAACCTAGGGAATGGAATGAGTTATAGATAGAAAGAGAGTGGAACTGGATCCTTAGGGCACCAAAACACACGAAGAAAAACATAACGCTGCAAGTCCAACTGCTGCTGCTAGAATAAATACTTCGAGCACCATTCACAACATACAAATTGATAATTCTCTTGATCTAAAATTATCAAAGTCGAGCGAATTAAAATATTTCGACTACACTAGCTGATTCAATTCTGGACAGGCAACCAACAATCCAATTGTGAATATAAATGGCAATCAGGAAAAGTCTTCTACTCCACATCTTTCTCCAACCTTTCATTACACGGACTTTAGAGCAAATATGCATTGCGCTAACCAAGGATATAAGTGAGCATTAGGGATCTATTATTGACCCTATGAACATGGACATCTATGTGCACAAGCAAACTAGACATGACGGTGTTTTAAATTAAGATGGATTCTTTATAAGATCTCTCCCACAGATGGACAATTATCAGCATAAGAGAAAAAAAGAAAAAAGAAAGCAAAGAAAACCTACCCAACACAAACATAGAAAGAGACAAGCTTCACAACTCCCTTGTATCACGGAATTCGGCACATGCATAATTAGTACTGGGAGTCTTGACCAGGACTCTCGGCATGCATATCCATGGAAGTATCATTGGAGCTTGTCGGGTTGTTATCCCTGATCTGATGATGAGGGTTGTTAGTTTCGTTATGTCGCGCAGCATTTCCTGATGATGTGGTGTTCGAATTATAAGCACCTTGCATCAAGTGATAGTGCTGGATGCTCCGACGCACAGGGCTTGAAAGTGCATTCGAAAAGACTGGATTTTTCCCCTGGTGATCAGAATTTCCAGAACGAGGAGCCTGAATTGTCGCCGGTGCAAACAGGTTAGAAGAAACGGGGGCACCGACATTAGCTAAATGCACCGCCGCTTGAGAATTTTGATGCTGAGCCGGCGGCCTCGGGGACATTGGAGCTTCATCTGCTGGATAGTCGAGCTCATTCTACACAAGTTCCAAAACAGAAAGGGAAAAGAAATAACTTATTCAGCTGTGTTGACAAACGGCATGCCTAATTGTTCGGGGACAATGCCAGGAAAGAACTCATGTGAATCCTCTAACGGACACTTTCAGTAAAACTAGAAATACTTCAAACATTGCCATAAACTTCAAGCCATCTTTCACTGATGCACTATTATAAAAAAAATGTCCTGGAGAAAACACCAATCTGTTTCCACCACAGTGGTCGTTTGATCTAGTTAGTTCAAAATCCAAATACATTTTATAAAAAATCCCAGAAGGTAACTCATATCATCTGTCTTCAGATGGCACAAATAGCAACTCAGTCACATCATCTGATGGAATTCACTACCACGCCAAAGTACTAAAGAAGATAAGGCAAGAAAAACCTCAGAAGAATAATTTATCAACAACGCATGCTACAGCCAAGGGTGGTAGAGGAGCCACTAACTGAATTACAAATACAAAATCCTGAATAATGTCTTTGATGTATGTCAATTTTGTTTTTCTACCGAAAGCTACTAATTACCCAATAGAACACTTATTCTGCATTAAAGATTGCTCCAACAAAAACATAACAATGAGATTTACCTAGTTTATGCCTTCAAAGTTCAATCTAATGTATAGGTATCCTGAAACCATTTATTGTAAATCTAGGGGAGTATGAGGTGGTGTTAACCCACAAAAGCATCAAAAGACTTATGCCAAACCAAATGAATAGGAGCTGAGTTCGACGTTGCTTTCAAATACAGTGTGCTCCATACAAGAATCTAGACTCAGTTCTTAAATCACCTTATTTTCGCATGAACCTTGAGTTACTTCTTCAGCTAGAAGATTTTAACTACAGAAGGCCTCTTGCGCAGTCATCTCCCGTTACTATACAATAGATTGGTAATACACATCACGTAGCATCATAGCTCCTTGCAGAATCTTCTGCAACTAAATTTGTACAAGGGTCAGCAGCAGGACCCCCTTGGTTATTTGTATTTTTTTACCTATTAGGGAACATCTACCACGTTTTTAGCCGTCTGTGACCTCCAACATACAAGCCAGACTCCAGACTTATATATAAAGAAGTCAATAACAAAACCCCAGAATCAACCTATAAGAAAAACAAAACCCCAGAACCTCTACATTAAAAAGCCCCTCCCACGAACCGCTACTAATCATCCCTGCACAACTATAGAAACAGTATAGAAAGAAAAACAAAACACAATCCAATGGAAGAAGTAAGTTATGAACATGCCAATTGAGGAAACCAAACACAATTATGATTTATGATGGATTCTGAATATTGACAAACCTGCAAGTATGCAATAATATCAATTGTGGACACTCTTGATCCTTCTTCTTGCTGTCTCAAAATCCATTGATAGAGTTTCTCCTAAGTAAAGATAAGGAGGTAAATGTAAGAAGTAAATTAATCACTGGCTCACGCTCTTACAAAATAAGAATGCATCCAAAAATATTAAGCAGCTAAAACATAACCATAGCATTTCCTAATCATATTCCACTGAAAACATTAGTATATAATCAACTACAAGAAGTTCTCGTCACCCCCCAGCACGGTAGCAACTCTGCCCACAAGCCACCCCATGGTATCATAGAATATATAACCAGGCAACATACGTAAGGAAGAGGTATAAATAACAGATCAGAAGCCGCTGAAAAGAACAACAATGACATGAGAAGCAACTCCCACCCTATGATGACTACCGTCTCTAGTGTTATGAGAGAACGAGTGAACTTATGACTTCCTTCCTTTCCAACTTTTGGCTTGGTAGCATTTGAGTGTTTGGTGTTTGTAACTTCAAACCACCAGGCACCAACCCCCTCGTTAGCCTATGCACCAGTCTTGCCTCTTTATTTTTACTCAAAACAACAATCTGATTATTGGGAAATGCCTTCTCATCAATGCTTCCCCAGACAAACATCACGTATTGTTCGGGCATCTGAGCATCTCTAATGTCAAGGGGGAGGCAGCTGGGCATGCAGGTGAGTGAATATTGATACAGACTAGATACAGACTTCACCATGAAAAGCTTATTAAGAACTCGCCATCACTAGAAAATATTATATTGAAATACTTAACGTGCATAATACGCAGAGGTACACAATCTGTACCAAAGCCATACAAGTCAAGAATCTAGCCAAGGATGCACATCCATTAGTTAACATTTACCACATCATGAAACATAAAATTGAAATGTGTACACCATCTAAGATTGAAGGCCACATCATCCCAAGAAAACTTATAGTCCAAAGAAAAGAAAGGAGCAGAGAGCTAGTTAGTAACATACTCTTAATAGAGAGATCCCAGGAGACCACATAGAGCAAAAAATTCTCTGGATGCTCAAAAACAAAAGCAGCATTTCATTTGTCATGCGCATTATTGGGCAATGCAACTCTGGTCCCCTATCTAACAGAATAAAACCAAAAATATGCCACTTTGGTACCAATTATCAATACCTTGATGAATGCACATGCAATGAATACGCACAACATGGAAAGTCAAATTCTATCACATAGTCATGTATAGGCAGAAGACTAATCTTTTGTTCACTTATAGATAATGAAGGATTTCGTTAATATAAAAAATCTCGTCCGAGATGCACAAGGACAGGAAGAAGAGAAACAAACGAAAAGTAAAACATCACAAAAGTACACATAAACAGCACAAAATGACCAAAGGGCAAAGATTAATCAGAGACTGCAAAAGAGAAGCGACCTAACAATTAAATCCCTCGAACAATCTTTTGTTACATTCTTTCCAAATGCACCACACCAGAAAAGTGGCGCAGCGCTCCAAGAATTCTTAGAGGTTAAGTCTCCAACGTAAGCATTCCAATAGCCAAATATTGGATGACATGTCTTGGCATGACACATACAACCTTAGACAAGCTGAAGATATGATTCCAAAGTTAGAGGGAGAAGTCACAATGAAGAAAGAAATGATCAAACAGATTCACCTGAATGCCTACATACACAACACCAATCCCTAAGGATGAAATTGCGTTTTCTCAGAACTTGAGGTACGAGGTTACTACAGAAAGACCAAGTGACCATTCCACATACAGTGACAATTTTAGCCTAAATAGAGAGTGCCCTATATTCTGGCCCAAAAAACAATGAAAGCGAAAAAGAAAAAGGTAGATCACATGCAAAAAAGCGTGTATAGGAGGAAGAAATCCTTAGTATGCAAATGAAAGTCTACGGTTTGATAATTTAACAGAGGATTCAAGGGCACGCAAGACTTGTGATGGCTTGAAAATTGAAGAAGCTCAAGACTGAAGGTCTACAACTGGGAACTACTTGGTGATACACAAGCGACAGAATCTTTCCTGTTCAAAGAGGTTAACGAATTGAAGTTGAAGCTAACAGAAATCGCCCCATACAATTCTTTTTAGTTACCCCGTTATATCAGTATCTACGCCATTCCTACGGAGAAGATATCTCTGGCATAGGAATCCTGGGCGCCAATCAGAAGGGGAAGAAACAATTTGACTTTCTTTTAGGCTAACTCTTCTCTAACCAGAGTAGAACCGCTTTCTGATTCACTAGCACCAAAAATTCACCAACAGCGAGGCCAACAAGCCCCAGGGGAGGGAAGAGATTGTTTTTGAAGGGCAAGATCTAACTGTATTAGTGTCTAGAATTGATTGTTTTCAGACAACCGCAAGCCCGAAAATCGATATTTAATATTCCATCCAGGATATCTTCAGAGAGAAGATGACCCAAACCCCATGAGGGAAAAACTTCTATCGAGTGAGCAAAAGAAGCGGGGTTGAAAGGGCCGTAGAATTATCTCATAGAGGGTGGACCTACATTGAAGAGTTAACGACTCATCTAAAATGACATAGAGAATATCTATCCGTATTCAGATAGCATTATGATCAATCAAACCTCAAATTGCTGTCATTGTATATGTATATGGTTACTTTATGATACCACAATTCATCAAATATATTCAACTCCAAGGTATAGCAAGACATTATTGGAATTTGGGAGTGTGACTGGTACCCTCATATAGAAAGCTTTCACCAATTAACTTGGATGAAAATTCTTATGAGGGTTAAAGCACCAAGCCGAGATGGATTCAGAGAGAAATTCATTCGTTCAAATTAAGGTGTTGCTAGAAAAGCTCTTACCCTGCATTCCTAACCATAAGTTTGTTTTTGAACTCATTTATTCCAGAAATTAGTTCTTTTCTAGGATATGCCAATCAACAAGATGATACACAACTAAATCTAATTTGAAAATCTTGCAAAATGAGTCGGATACAAATCTTTTCCTCAGTTATTTCAGTTTAGTACACCAGTAGAAGACAAAAAGTCTCTACTTTTTTAACAAAAAATTCGCTCTGCCGCTCTCAACTTTTTCTGTAAGAAGACTTCATTCTGATTTGAGTAGCATGATGCTGCTTCCTTCTGAACATAAGCCTAGAACAAGTAAAGATGAGGACTTGTGGCGCGTGGCATTACAACAACCATCCTCGTTTTAACTCCATAAGAACGCCTTTAACTATTCGAATGTTATTATGTCCTCATGTTCATCCTCATCAACCAAAGCTGTCAAAAAGAGAAGACGAGTTGCCATGCCTATACCTCCAAGCTAAAAGTATCTTTAACAACACATATTACCAAGCAACACAACTCCAAACTCCAATATACCTAACCCAACGTCAGGGAAACTCCCGGACAACGCATCACTAAATCTGCTGTTTGCAAATAAGCTGCCACTCGGTCAAACTAAACCATTCTTTTTAAATAGTCCATTCCCATTAAAGGTGTTCGACCTCACAGCGCCACCGCAAAAATTCTAACAAAAAACGAACCATCACTTGCCGTGCCCATTAATTTTACCAACACACAAGTATTACCAGCAAAATTAATCCACAGGCAAATGCAATCAGAAATCAGCAATCAGCAATCAGCAATCCAACAAACTCATATGATCCCCAAAAGAGAAAATGAAAGACCCAAAGCCCCGACACCCACGCACCCAAAATCAATCAACTGATCCCGGGCACGAGGTCGACATCACGTATAAACCGATCTAGAAGCCCAAAAGCCTCACTGGGTTCATTTTTTTCGCGGCAGAGCACACCGAAACGATTCGAATCCAATTGCCCCCTATCCCAACCCTAAGCAGCACCATCAGATTACCGTATCAAATCAAAACCAACAAAAACCCCACCACCGAACACCGAAGAAGCACCCAAAATCCCCAATCGAATCGGGTATTCCGGAAACCCTCCCCGCCCTTCAAATCGAGCAAGCGAATCAGCCCAGGAACGCCAATCAGGGACAAAAGGCGAGGGGGCAAACGGAATCGGGGGGGAAGGGAGAGACGTACCAGCGCGTGACGCTCCCCGGCCTGGAAGGAGAGGCGCTGGTGGTTCATGGCCTGGGTGTAGAGCTGGGAGAGGGAGTTGGCGGCGCTGCAGAAGGAGGAGTAGAGGCTCCGGTCCACCTCGTCGAGGCGGGACGCGACGGACTTCCTCTTCTTCGCCATGGGTGGATCACCGGAGAGGGGAAAAGGGGTGGGGGGGAAGGTAGGGTTTTCCTCTCCGATCGAATTCGAACCGCGAAGAGAGAGAGAGAGAGAGAGAAGACGAGAGAGAAGATGGCGGAGGGGGGAAGCTTGTAGGGAAAAAGGCGAAAAAGTTTGGGGGGGGATGCTGCAAAGGTTGAGTGGGTACGTGGATATTCAGCCACGTTGATCGTGCGCGGGCCCCTCCCCGCCGCCTCCCTCCGCCGCTCGCGGCTGCGAAGGATGCTAGGTTTACGGCCCCCGAGCCCGAGGGTCCCGGGTCTCGGGAGGTCGCCCGCCCCGGGACTCGGGCGACCCGTATCTACGGTCCGTGGTAGATTTCGATTGCCGTGGTGTTTTGATCGCCGTCGATCGGGACCGTAGGATCGGCGTGGAAGCGTCGGGATATGCCTCGAGTATGGGCCCGTGAGGAAACCCGATCCGAGCAAGTTACCCGATTTGAGTAGATTTTCCCGGTTTTTGAGTAGGTTTCCTAAAAGAAATTTCCTCTTTTTGGATGTATGCATGCGGTGGATTCGGTTATTATACAATAAAGCAAATAAAAGGAGCCTTCGAGTTATCTTCCGTGAGTTTTTTGAGTGAGTTTTCTGTGAAATATTGTGAAATTACACTTGTATTGCTTTGATGTAATCTAGGGCTAGGAAATACTTGAATGATTGAGCCAAATTCATGGGGGATTTTTTTGTGGCCGGCTCTTCTCGTAGAATAGGTACCTACAATCGAATGAGCCATATGAATCTCTGATTTTCTTTATCGTTTGTCGTTGATTTTTGTGATAATTTATTTTTCTTGTGTTAAAATTAAATTGCAAGATACATTATCTTTTGCGTCATTTCACAACAATTGTATTTGAGCTAAGGTTAGTGTTTTTAGAGTTGATTTGGAGCTTTTAATTGTCTTATCATTATTTGAAAATGTTGTGTTTGTAGTTATGTGCGGAGCAAGAATTAAGATCGAGAAGTTCAATGGGAAAAGCAACTTCCGGTAGTGAAGTATTTAGATGCGTGCCTTGTTAACAATTCAAGGTTTGGTGAAAGCATTGGATGATAATGTTAAATTGTAAGAAACGATGAAAGAGCTTATAAGTTAGAGTTGATGGAAAACACAAAAAGCATAATCTTATTAAATTTATTGGATGAAAAGTTGTTTGAATGATCGAAGAGAATGACGTTATGGCGCTATGGGCAAAATTTAAGTCACTTTATCCGAGAAAAAGATTGAGCAATCGTTTATATATGTTGAAAATGATGTTTCAATTCCATCGGAGCCTATTTAAATGAGTTTAACAAACTCATGATGGACTTCAAAAACATGACTTTACCTGATAAGAAACAAGATATGATGATATTGGCATCTTTATCAGATTCTTTTGAGCACTGCTACTAGAGTGCATTACAATTACCTCGATGACGTAAAATTTGCCTAATATTCTAAGAAGTGTCAAAAAAGTTGGAGAAGATAACTTAAGGTAGCAGATGGAAGAGCCTCAACGTTCTACATTGTCGATGTTATCACTACAATTAGGTATGCACTAAAAGATAACGGTAAATGAGTTAAGCTGGAGTTTACAAGTAATGATAATGTTGTCATTACAATATATAATAATTCTAATAATGTCGATGGTGTGTTAATAGTCACCACGAGTTCAGGTGATGATTTGGTGCTTGATTATGGATTTTCTTAGGCATTGATTGACTTCTTTCAGCGCATGGAGGGTGCCAAGGTGCTCATGGTGTGCTGCTTGTGAAGTAGCAGGTATCATATCAATTCAGATTAAGATAGATAATGGACTGGTGAGAATATTGACAAATGTAAGGCATGTACTGAAGTTGAGAAAGAACATTATCTTGACAAGTTTGGAGCTCTTTTACGATCTGCTTATTGCGATGCTGGGGAAGATAGACTACATATTGCGTCTCCTTTAGGGAACAATAGTGATTGGCTCATCCGCTAGATCATATGAGGCTTCAATATAGAACATGACACAATTGTGGCACAGAAGACTTGGACACATAAGTGAGAGGGACGTGATTATTTTGACTTAAAGGGTTTTACTCAGAGGTCATGGGAATGAGAAGGTGAACATTGTGACATGGGTAATCAACGCATATTAAAGTTTAGTACAATGCACCATACCTTAGCTATTGTAGGCTATATACACTCAGACTTATGGGGACCCTCTCAAGTTCTGTATAAGGGTGGTGTTAGGTATGTGTAGTTTTTTACCGATGATCGTTTGAGGGAAGTTTGGATTTGTAGCACAAAAGCGAAGTGCTTGGTCGGTTCAAATTGTGGAAGGCAATGATCGAAAAGTAAATATGATGGAAGATCGTGTACCTGAAAACTAACTAAAGGCTGGAATTCTATTTTGATAAGCTTGACCAGTTTTGGGTAGATGAAGTCATAGTATAACACCGTATTGTGGCCAACAACACACCATAACTGAATGAAGTCGCAGAACTTATGAATGGAATTTTTTGTTAGAGAGCGCGCTCTCTACTTTCCAATGTTGGATTGGATGAAGATTTCAGAGCCAAAACGATGAATGCTACTTGTTAGTTAATAAATAGATCACAATCACCAGCAATTCATTGGAAAGCTCTTGTAGAAATGTATTCAAGTAAGCCTCCTAATTAAATTGGAACGAAAATGTTCAATTGCCTTGCTTATGATCATGTGAGTGAAGCCGTGCCGGAGCTAGAGCAAGGAAGTGTGTATTCTTAATTAGGCTATACACATGTAATGAAGGTATAGAGGTTGTGGTGCACTAAGCAAGATTCACTCGGGTTTATGTTCGGCAAAGAATCCTTGACAAATTTGCTCTATTTTAGAAGAGGAGCGAGAGATCAACTAGAGAGAAAGATTTATACGGTGTTTCAAAATAGGTGGAGCTTCAGGGAGATCCTAGAGATGTTTAGAGGGTGATAGACGGGACATTGTCTACATAGTTGCTAAGTTCCATAGCAATTTTAAGGTCACGATTGATGAAGTTTCGAGGTGGTCAGAGGATATGGATGAAATATAGCAACAGGTGTATGCAAATATAGAAATAGATAATTTGAGTGCAATATAAATAGCTTCAAGTTTGGAGATACAAGGAGTGAAGACTGCTGGAATATTGAGAGTGGCTTGAAGGAGTTACCTCGAGAAAGCTTTGAAGCGTTTAATCACGCAGTTTAGAAATTATGCAAGTACCGCAGTTGCTTCATGTCATAAAATTGTCTTGACTGTTATTGTGTACTCGGATGGAAGCGAAGCAATTGTCCTGTGGTCGGAGGAGGTTTGCCATTTTTTGCTAAGTCGAAGAAGCAGTTTTGTCCATTTCGACCAACATAGCCGAAAGCCCCGCGTTAATCTCCATTTTCACATGTCAAGGACCTTGTCGACTCGTTCAAAACTCGTACGGCGTGACTAAGATCCGAGCCGGAATCACAAGTCAACCTGCTAAAATCACTGAACGGGCGAGTCGACTCGCCTCGGGTCGGGCCGAGATTTCGACACATCTGACTAGTAACTATACTTTCTCAACTCCTGGACTTCAAAAACATTAAAAGTGGACTCAGGCCCCTACTTCACTCACCGACCAGCTACTGAAGTTACGTCCTCGCGTTGCTTTCTACAAACCCTAGCATGGCTCCCACTCTTACAAAGAGCCGACGTGGGGCAAATGGAACTTGCTCAGCAATCCTTCATTTAATTAACAACCGAGCACATCTTTTGACAAGATAAACCACTCAAACTCTTTGCTTTTTTCTTTTACTCTGGAAAGTGGGAACGTGCCTCAACACCCCTTTTGGTACGTCAGCATCTTACATTCAAGATTTCGCATAACTTCGATCATGAAAAGGTATTGAGATCATGCATTCATTACAGTGTTTTCATTCTATTATGGATGCTAAATATCATCTTATTTGGCTATGTAGATGTCCCCGACATGGTTATCATTCTCATGACATATATCGAGGAAATTATTTATCATTTGTACGATCTTACGATACAAATTTGCAAAAACACCCTAGCTATCCTTCGTAAAAAAGAGATCTTGACCATCCTGGCTCCAAATGAACTTTTGAGCAACGAATAGTTTCGTCGGTTATTTTGACCCAGAGGAAGACTCCAACGTGCATGTCAAGTTTGGATGGGTATATATATGTATCGAAATGGGAGTTGAGGGGGCTGAACTAATTAAAATGCTATCAAGAGTGTTCTTACTTCTCTTGTTTTTCTTATGGAAAATGACACAAATGATTTCTGAACTTTAGTACAATTCGTAATGTCATTTCTGAACTTTTAATTTGTGAAATGTCGTCCCTGAACTTGTGACAATATGCAATGTCGTCCTTAAGCTTTTAATTTGTTTAATATGGTTCTTAAACTTTGGTTTAATATTCAATATAGTCCCTAAGCTTTTAAATATTTTCATATAGTCTAGGGACTATATTGAATATATAATAATAGTTCATGGATCACATTGAACAAATTAAAAGTCTAGAGACGGCGTTACACATTAGACCAAAATTCAGGGACCATGTGTGCTATTATCCCTTTATCTTTTTCAGAAGTGTTGAGTGAAAATTGATTGTAACAGTATGAAAAAGTACGGTGTAATTATTATAAGAGTGCTTTGAGCGTATGAAGTATGTGTATTTGTAGAGCAAGCTGTTGTATTTCGCAGAGATACAACTTCATCTATAAACGTTGTCAAGGCTCTAGCAGAAGTTGTTATAAATTTGTTTTACAATCTCTTCCATCCCTTATTCCGTTTACATTTTTGTGGATAGAAGATATTTCCTTTGCATTGCATATTTCATTTACAATCACAATTTCAACATCTACACGTTATTTTATACTTAATCACGAAACTTTAAGAACTCCTATTACAACCAATTCACTCCATTTCAGGCTGAATATCACATTGATCCCGTAAGTCGCCAATGCGGTGTAAAATAGTGCTTTCGATGAAGATGAAGACAACGAAACTCTTAATTAAAAATATGAGCGTGGAATTGTTTGTCAAAATCAATCTGCTAGCTAGCGTGCCAAAAGAGATGTTGATGGAAATCGGCTTGTGCTGAGGCAATCGA